ACTTTATCTGCTAATAATTTGTGTTAAAAATGATGCTTGTTTAATGTTTCTATTTTACAAATTTACATTTTTACTTGACCTTTAAATGTTTAACACTTCTAAAATTTGAATTATAGTTGTTAATGTTATGAATCTGAATACTTATAGATAAAATATTAGTATTGATACCAGTATTTATTTAAAATAAATGCTGAATGTCCAGTATCGTGGTTTTTGTTCTAGTACTGCAGTCACCAGGCCCCAAGGGTGGACGGGCAGAGCATGGAGAACGTGAACACAGACGGCTAAGGCTCTCGGTTCAGGGCAGACAGCCCAGAACTGGGGTCAGTGTGGCAGGCAAGAGCTGGGCAGCCCAGGGCTTGCTGCTCTGCTGCAGGAACCACAGGCCCAGGCCATCCTAAAGGGGTCTGCAAATAAGTTTTTTGTCCCCAGTACCCTTACTGGACTCTGTTCTTCCTCTGTATACAGCTGGAGAAGATTTACTCGTGTCAGCCCAATCTGGATGCTTTGTCTTGCACGGCCAGTGCCCTGGCGCCATTTTGCGTTGATGATTTTGGCTACAGCTACATTATCTTAGAGGAATCTCAAGTCTTCGTTTTCCCAACACCTCGCTCATTGCTTGGGACATAGTAAGCACTCAGTACACATAGGTGCTGTTATTTGTTCAACCAAAGTTGAATGCGTGAAGCAAACTGGCACCATTGGCAGGAAAAAGCAACTCCTCTTCTGACACTAGGAGATGATGAGACTCAGGGAGCCTGGGGGTGGGGTGGTGAGGACTTGGTAAATGAGTGGAGCACCCCGGCCTATAGCATGGGGTGGGAGTAGGGGGTTGAGAGTGAAGAGGAGGGTTTGGGGAGCACCCCAGTGGCAGTGCCAGCAGCAGCAGACGGACTCAGGGCTGCTAGCCACGTGGAAGGAGACTACCTGTAATGACTACCTCTAGGATTCTGAGATGCAAGCAATTATCCGCATCTGAAAACCATGATGAAGGGTTTAATGCAAGTATGTAGCATGACATCATTAGTAGAGTGGAGTTGGACATGGACACTTCAATACAATATAATCTATTGGTTCCCCCAGAAGGTGCCAAAAGCAGTTCACAATAGTTAGGCTTCATTTTGTCCATAGTTCATGGCATATTCGAAGTCTTTAAAGCTGACGAGACCATCTGAGTCTTGATCTACTTCCCTGGAAAATCAAGCAAAAAGTTATTTACAGGTTATTTTCGTCAGCACTTATGCATCAAGAGCACATCAGAACCTTCATTTCTTTGCATGTCTACATGTGAGAGGTACCTATTTCATCTACTTGAAGGCTAAGGTTGATGCCTATTTTTTTCTTCCATTGACAATACCTAAGGTGGGAAAGAAAGGAAAAAGTATTTACTAAAACCTACAAAAATAATATACCCGACACATTTAAAGGAATGAAGACAAATGCACAGGTTATATAAGAAAGGCAGGAATGATGGTTTTTCTAGTCATCCTGCAAATTATTTCTGTGATATATCAATAAACATATACACATCACATAACAGAAATGTGGAATAAGCCAACAAGAGATAAGAAAAATGTTTGGGAATAAATATTAACAATGGGAACAAAGATTGACACCCTGCATTGCACTGCCTTTACATTCCTCATCTCATTGAATCTGTGCACCAATGCTGGGATGGGTCCATTTTACAGACAGGACATTGAGCTTAGAGACGTTCAGCAGTTTGACAAGATGATGCGGCTGGTAAGTAGCAGGCTTGGTACTCAAATCAGGATCGTTAAATTCTAAAACCAGTGCTCTATATTCTATTGCACATTGCCTCCCTATGTAAATAGGATATTTGGGAGAGAACTGGTTGTATTGCAATTCCCATGTGGCCAACTCTAGCTACAGAAGCTTTCACTGGCTTCATTCATGGCCTCAGAAGCTCTGTTAAATCCTCACAAACACTCGATAAGCTTTCCTGACTCCTATGAAGAGTGGTGAAGATATGAGCCTCTGGCTGGTTGGCTGAGGGCGATCTCAGCTGCGTTGTCCCTGTGTATCCCTAGAATCTCTGGGACAGGAGCACTGCCCCCTGAACAGGGAGCAGAGAATTGGCACCTACTCCACATGGCTGCAATGACACATGTCAGAAGGACAAAATTAAGGCATAAGCAACACATTCAACCATTACAGTAAAAGTAATGTTTATTTAAAAGTGTTTGCAAGGATAACTGATGGGTAGTGGTCACAATTCCTCTTTGGGGGACATTCTAAAACAGTGCATTACATGCCTTATATGGAGCTTCTGTGGTTGATGCAAATTATATTTTGTTGAAACAACAAACGGCATCAACAATGACATAACGCTTTTTAAAGCAAAGCCTGGCCCAAGTAACAGAGCCACTAATCACTGTAATAGTTTTAAAGCAGGCTTTTAAAATATTGAATTCTAAAATAAACTTTCTGCATATTTCATGCCAAAGTCTCTGAAGTCTATAATGGTTCTGGATAGAGTGATGATAATTTTTCATTTTTTTGAAGTAGAGAAAATCCATACTTCTCTGCCCCAGGGCAAAACCATGTTGCAGTGTGTTAGTATAAAACTACTGCAGACTATAGAGGCCATTATTCTTGTTACCTCTTTTGGTAAAATATACATGACGATTTCATGCTATACAGGACCAAAAGCGGAATATCAGATCTCTTCTAAGGGATTAGAAATAATCAGTATCACATGTTACTGACTACAGAATATAAATCACCCCTTTCATTAAATTAGATAATTGAAGATTCTTAATATTGCCTAAGCATTTTTTCCCCAAGGAACTGGATTAGATGAATGGCTTTTTTTCTTCTTACTCTGAACTGGTATGGTTGAACGATAAATCTCAGAGGATGAGTTAAGTGGATAACCTAGAAAAGTAAAGATTAAAGTAAACTGCTTCTGATACTATTTTTTGGGTATGATTCTTCACTTATTGAGATGCTGAATGCTCCTAGAAAAGGGAATCCCTTTGCCTGATTTTCTCAGGAAATAACCTTCATTGTAATTGCACTAGCTTCTCATTTTTCTCGCTGTCTTTGCCAAAGCTTCGCATCATAAAATGGGCACGGTACAACCAAGAGGAGTTAAAGTGGAAACGCTTATTCATAAGGTTTGGAGTGGCATTTTATTCACATAATGAATGGAGGAACGTCAATTTTATATTTAAAATGAGACATGATAAAATACTTTCTATCTTCCACCTTTTCTCCCTCATCATATATATATGAGCAGACCTGGTCATCTCGAGTAAAGAAGAAATTCACATTTCACAGCTATAATTTTAAAAGCTAAAACAAACTGTTTTTCATTGCAGATGGAATTATTCCGAAGAAGGCAGGTTTCATAGCACCCACGCTCAAATCACTGTGTGACCAAAGAGCAGACGTGGCTGGTGGGTAGAATGAGTGGTGTGTTGAGAAGATGAAGAAAACGTCGTTAGGTAAAAAAAAAAAAAAAAAAAAAAGTTTCATTGTTTCTGTTTACAGCATTTAACCCTGAAAGGAGTTTACTCTGGTTCTGAAACTAGAGTGTGCTGTTTCCGTGTCACCAACACACATTCAGCAGTAAAATATTCCACCAACCCTCACTCCAACTAGAAATAAACCCAAGGAGGGCAAGAACTTTCTCTTGCCTGTTCCTGTGTCCCCACCCCTTAGCCCACAGCAGGCAATGAATGTCTGCAGAGTGAATGAATTTGTGAAATAAAGGAATCTGGGGAAACAGCTGACAACATTATGAACATCTCCTGCCTCCCAGGAGGTATTGGGAGATTCAAGATTAAGAGAGTATATCATCACTGTTTTTATGGAGTCTGAGAACTAGCCAGAGAAATAATACACACTGAAGAAGGCAGCTAGGAACCATCACTGAGGGACCCATAAGTAATGATCAGTTATGGCCTCCATGCCCAACCGCATTTTGGCAACACAGATCAGGTAGAAGAGAGACCAAGTGAGAAATGAACTTTGTTTGGAAAATGAGGCTGCAGAGTAGAACATGGGTGGAAGGAACCCCTTGAGTGTCAGGCTCAGCAATTTAGAGATAAAGAGCAGGAAATTAGAAACCAAGACAGAACACTGGACACGGCTGAGTCTAACCTACCCTACAGTCGAAGCTCGAGCACTTCAACCCAGTTAAGCAGCTGCTCTTTTACTAGACGTGCGGATATAGCAGTGGATAGAAATACAGGCTTATATTTCAAACCGGCTTTCCAAAGGAATTAGTAAAGCTCATATAGATGTAAGACAGGAAAATAAATTGCTGTTAACAACAATAGCTGCTTTCTAGAAATGTCGATGCAGCTAAATTAAAGACATTTTGGTCTGCTTGTTTTTGAGATGCAGAAGGGAGACCTGGAATTGATTTGGGGTGGAGGGACCCAAGAGAGCTGAACTGCTCTGTGTAACTCAGCATGAACAATTTAGGACCATCTGGGCAGAAGGGGATGAGGGTGCAGGAAGAAGGGGCTACTGAGGAGGGCAGAGGCTGGGATGCTATATGAGGGGAACTGACCCACGGAAAAGTCTCCAGTGGGGCAGTGATCAAAAGTCCTTTAACTGCTACGTTTACTGTGTGCTTCGAAGTTGTTTGTATTGCTCGTTATAACCTCTCCCCTATCTTCACCACTGGGGGCAACAGGCACACACTCTATGGGGGATGGTGTGTTTTGGGGTGTTTGTGTTGAGCTGGGGGCTGAAGATGGAGTTAGGAGAGGAGTTCCCCCTGAGCAGGTGCAGGAGAGAGCGAGAAAAACAGTGGGGAAGGGTATGATGATCCATCAGCTGAATTAATTCAGAGAAATGAGAACTCTGGAAGGCTTTCAGAAATTTGCCCAAATCTTGAGAAGTGCTTTCAAGTTCCACAGTGTGGCATGGGGGTTCCAGGCAATACTATCTGGACTTTGAAGTGCAGGAAGACCCAGGTTGACACTGGGATACATTGAGAATTTCAGGCAGGTCTAGACTCAGTCCATCCAGCTGAGTTCTGACAGTTTTCATATCAGTTAAAATACAAACATTTTCTGACTCATCATATAAGTGGTTATAATTACTCTCAACCGCATGAGCTTTAGCATTGGTCTCTTTTACATCTTGATTTGTTAAGAACGATTCTGTTCGCTCCTTTTTGTGATGTTGTGCGGACTTCAATGGACTAGATGTGCCCCTGCGACCCAGAGGCTAAGTGGTCCCCACCTTGAAGGAGCCAGGCTTTCACTCTGTGAATCTTTTACTAAGCTAGGCCACAGCACTGCTTTAATCCCTTCTGAAGAGAAACAAAGGTGGCTATTTTTTTAATTTTAAAAATATGTAAATAGTGAAGGTTTCTCACAAGTAAGAAATGTTTCTTGTACAAAAATATTTACATCATAACCATTTCTTGTAATGTTTTGAAAGTAGTTATTTTTTGGAAAATAGTTTTTGTTGTAAAATAATTCAAGAGTGCCCCATGGCCTGGTCTCGAAAGCCCGATTTCAGACTGGAGTATGTACTTTTGTCCAAGTTACTTAAAAAAAAAGGAAGGAAAGAAACAAAGAGGGAATGGTTTAACTTCATTACGCTGAAACAACGGTATATTCTCTATTAAAATGATATAAAGCCTATAAAAGTGATATTTTTTAAGTGGAAACAAGAAGACAAACTAGTATATACATTATATTGGCAGTCATAGACATTTGTATTCATTTGGGCAGAAGTTGAAGATTATATGCTAAACAGAAGCTTGTCATGGGTACTTTGTCTTAAAATATTCTTTAATATTATTGATATCTTTTTCAACTGAAGGAATATTTTCTTTTAGTCCACATTTTCTAAACAAGTGGCCTTATTTCACCATGTACAAATCCTCAACAGCTAGAGTGGGGTTTCTCAACCTCAGCACTATTGGCATTTTGGGTTGGATAATTCTCTGTGGTGGGGGCTGTGCTGTGCACTGCAGGATGCCGAGCAGCATCCCTGGCCTCTAGACGTCAGTGGTACCCTCCTCCTCCCTCCCCAGTTGTGACAGCCAAAAATGTCTCCACCTATTGCCAAGTGTCCCCTGGGGAACAAAACCATCCCTGGTTGAAAACCACTGAGCTAGAGGAACCACAGTTGGAGGCAATTCTTTGGAACATTTCAGCTAAATCTACACCTACTAAAATAACTGCTTTAAAGACATTTCT